AAAAGTGGTGAAACCGGAAGTGACCGAAAACAATTGAATACGTCAATCAATCCTAATTTATTTCATATGCTAACATACCAAATCTCGTTGTTTTATCTGAAAAAAATTAAAAGTTATAGGGGGTTATTAATGGCTGATATGCTCTAAAATTATATGAGGCAAATATTCATTCGTAAAGGAGCTGAAAAGGATTCCGATATCCTTATTATCGAAAAAAGCTTATAAATTTGCCTCATTAAATAAATTAATTTATTAACAGTAATGGGAAAAGATATCAATCTTTTGGTGGTTTTGATTGTTCCGAATTGAATATGTAGTAATATAAGTACGGAGAATGGTAGCAGAATCGCTCAGAATTTTCTCATCTCGAAGAAAAATCTATCACAAAAAAATGCATCTCAAACACTGGCTGATCCTCATTTTGAATGTCGACAAAACTGTCTGATCATATTATACCGATTCTGCCCGAAATAATTAATTTTGAAAAAGAACGGAAAATTTTCTTAAATTCTTATTGAAAAATAATGCCAATGCTTGCAACTAAATACTAATATACTAATATTTTCAAAGATCACTTATACCAGAACGAGACTGCCGAAGTTGAAATTCTATTTCTTATAGCTCTATATACCAGGTGTGTCTTAACCCTATAACTTGTTTATTTTTCAGATGAAAAAACAAGATTTAGTATGTTAGTATACGACATAAATTAGGATTAATTGACGTATTCAATTATTTTTAGTCACTTTAATGACACCCACGGTATATTTCTACTTTATGCGATAGAAAATGACACTCTGAATAGAATAAAACATATCATATACCAACTTTTGACATTTTCGCATATGGTTTATTTGACATTACAACATGCGGTTCCTAACGGCGAACAATTTGACTCGAAATACCAAATGTGTGGTATCAAATTATTCGTAAAAAATGCTTTTTCCAAATATGCTAATGAGCTAACTTTGTTCCATTTGAAAAAATTGAAATATGGTTAAAATACGATTTGAGTATCTTTTAACCGGTCAGGACAAAACACGAAAAACATTAGACGATCAAATCTATTTTTCCAAGGCTCCTTGTTTAAATTATAATAAAGTAGTGTTTTTAACACAGCCATGGCTCTCTAGGTTGAAATTTAAAATACGATTTTTTTATGCGAAGATGTCAAAAGTTGACATATGATATGCCATTCTACTCAGAATGTTATTTTCTATCGAATAAAGTAGAAATATACCGAAGGTGCCATTTAAAAACCAAAAGTTTTAGTAATTTCCGGGGAAACAGGGAGTAACCAAAAACAATTGAATACGGCGCGGCGTCAATCAAGCCTAATTTACGTCATATACTAACACACCAAATCTCGTTTTTTCATCTGAAAAAATAAAAAAGTTATAGGGGTGAGCCACTTTCGAGACGCACCCAGTGTAAAAAAAACAACAATCGCAGACTAAGATTGAACGAAGAGAAGAATTTTGAAGTATCTTTAAGTGCAAATTTATTGTCAAAGTAGCATAAATATGCTTAGTTGTAGTTAAAGTATAGTATTGTAGGAAAGAGAGAATTATAATAATTATTAGGGGGGGGGCGCCAGATAGGGTATTCGCCCGGTTTCAATATTACCCTTCCGCCGGCCCTGACTAACGTTGACTCGCTTGGCTAGTTATGTTACGCTTGGTCGGTACCAACTGAGTGCACTTGTGAGTGAACTTATATAGAAGAGCTCAATTTAATATAGATATTAGTTTAGTTGTAGTCATCTGCTGATAATGCTAACATGGTTAGCAAAACGCGCGTCCAGTACAAAAGTGAAGTGTTTTGGTGTATTGTAGCGAATTACTGTTTTATTTAGCTGTAGTAACACAAAAGGTTTTAACACCCAACTGTAATTTATTTTTCTAAATTGAAAAAATAGTTTTCAAGTTATAAAGTTACACCCTTTAAGGATACGCTGAGTATTACAAGAAGTATTTTTCTTCCAATTTCCAATACTATAGGAAAAGTATTTTTAAGAAATATGATAATAAAAAAGGGAAAAAATGAAATGTATGTTTCTTATCGAACACGTAAAAAAGGGGTTTTATTTTCCTTTTAGCCACATCGACAGAAAAAAATAAACCAGAAAAACCAATGAGGTTTATCGGGCAGGACATTACAAAGGTTTCCATATATTTTCATGCCTTTTTTGTATGCGGGGATGCCAGATCAGCGGGAAGTTGCAAATATTGACGTTTATAACGGCAGTTATACATTAAATTTTATTAGAAGTAAATAAGAAAACTAAATATCTTTTAAAAAAAATCCTGTATTTTTCGACAATAAAGAAAAATCTAAAAAATAAAAAAGTATTCTTGTGGTAACATGAAGGTAACATGCTTACAGTATACTTTTTGTAAGTTTTCTTAAACTTAGGATATTTTAACAGATCTCTGTAGAAGAGAATCATAATAGATTTGTCATATTGTGACATAAATTGTGGTTGTTATGGTTATTTGACCAGGACCGGATTACATATTTTAAATTTTCGCCTAATTTAGTATTTTCGTATCCCTCATAAGGCAAAAACGAATTCTTATAAATTATTCAAAATGAACAGTTTGGTTCATTTTAAGAAGCTTCTTAAAAAGTTTGAAGTATTTTTTTTGTGTAAAATAAAATGGGGAAATCTTATTCGTCGTTTTTAAAATTTAAATGAGATTTCCTACGTTCAAGTCGACGATGCAACACGGTATAAAAACTTTCAAAAAAATTTAAAATCGAATCAAATTTATTGATAAAAAGACCCTTTAACGTTATTGAAAACTTCAGCAAAAGTCAAAAATAAAGTCAAACAACTTTCATGTTGATCGGAAAACACTCGAAAAGCCATTGAAGTCGGCAATCTATTTATATTCGCCTTCGAAACCGCAACGAAATCGAAATTCGTTGCGAACTTGGAGACCCTAAGAGATATTTTGAGTGAAACTGGCGAAATTAGGTGCTATATACGTCAGATTTATTTATGTTTACGTTTGGGGCCGGATGTCTTTTCACCAGCCGATCTACATCTTTCGAATTTCGGCCTCATGATGAGACCGAAGAAAACACGCCATGCAGCGTCGCGTATGCTAATTCTTTTAAGAAGAAAATAAGACTGAATTTGCAACAATCCTTTGGGAATAAAAGATACTTTATAGATATCTTCGTAGCAAACTTAATAGTGGAAACAGCTGTATATAATAATTATACAGTGTGTTAAACTTAATTGCATACAAACAGGGTGATACAGTATTCAAAAAATGCTCCATATCAGGTTTTATATTAGAGATTTTCACTCCAGTCCTTTTGATAAAATAATAGAGCAATTGTAGCTCACATCTGTTATCTCATTTACAAAATTCCTTTTGAAATAAATTCAATTTAAATATATAAACTTCTGACGACTTTATTACTAAAACGTCAGTATAATATTATCACCTGTAAACAAACAATCTACTGTTATAGAGATCGATTGTTATATATCTCTAACAGATCGGCCAAATGTAAGTAGTAGTTGAAATTGTATTAATGTAATAAGTAGTTGAAATTCATAAATATATTTTGAACACCCTGTATCATTTAACTAAAATATCTTTACATATATTTTTTTTATCTCTATAAAACGCTCCTACCAAATTTTGGTACTCCAACTTCAGAAACAATGGCACCACTGACAATTTTTTACCACACTGCAATTTAACATTTGTTTAAATACATTGAAATATTACAAAAACTAATAATTTTAGGTATATAATATTATATATAAAAAAGTTATGGAATTTTACGCAGAATCTAAAAATAAAATAAAAAATAGGGTGTTGCATTTAAAAAAACATATGTTATAGCCGCCACACTTTTTTGAAGCATCTTGTATACTCTATAATAATTTTAAAATGTGTATCTTAACCATCCCTATAACTTTTATATTAAACATTTTTTTGTAAACCTTGAAACAAATGAGATAATGGACTTTACTCTATCGTTGACTCACCCTGTACATACAGTATGGTCGATTGTCAATGTGGATTTATACTATTTGTCCGAATTAAGGTGGGCGGCCACTGCGAGCGAAACTAAACTAAGCCAAGGGAAGATAAGATTTTTAAAAATCAGCTCCCATACTTTTAAATGCATCAGCGGCCACTTGAGCGAAATTAAACGAAAATAGCAGAGACACAATACGAAAACGCAGCTAACTTAGCTGATTACTAAGCGAAAATCGTTCCCAGTGGCCGATGAAACTTATTTTCGTTTAGTTACAGTTTCTTTCTACATCCTTAGCTTAGTTTAGTTTCGCTCGCAGTGGCCGCCTGCCTTTAGGGTGGCTGCAACGACGCGCGACGTCCCGTAATCTTGCTGTTAAAACATAACAGCTGGTTTTTATATCAAGCGGTTAGGGTTAGAGTTCGGCTGTGGACTTATGGCATGACCAATCGGCGCCTACCATTTTCGCGGGCGATTTAAAGTATGATGTGCATACTGAAATAAAGTGTTTAAATATTTGAATGTCCGTGAAACTAATTAGAGTGTTTTTCTTATTATTTCTTAAATTCAGAAGTGATAGGCATCATTGTTCCATAATACTGTATGGTAAAAAAAACGGCGTCTGGTTGACGTGGAAATGACATGGAAATGACGATCGATGACATTCCCCATATAATTTTACTCTAGATCTATACTACCTAGATATATACTTACGAATTTTACATATAAAATGACAGCGATCTTCATTTCATAGCCATCGCTGATGCCGGTTTTTTTTCGATCATATTGTATTTAAGTAAAAAAAAATAAATTGTGATTTGTTTCTTGTTATTATTTTTAATAATTATGCTAATCACTATTAAATGAAATAATTTATTTCAATTACTTGAGAGTAAACCATTAATGGTTTTACGTATAAAAAAAATTAAAAAATATATTTTGATTTATATTTTTTGCGTTGAGTAAAAAAAACAAATTATACTTTTTTAATACATTTATTCATTACACTTTAAAAGCATATTCAATGAAATTTTATTTTTTTCTTCTGACGAAGGCTTGCTTATAGATTCCTTTTTTCTCTGAGTTTTCTTCTTTGTTGAAAATAATCTTCGTTGAGGCTCCATTTGTTTGTTAGAGGGTTCTTTCCTAAGTTTGTCCTCTTCAAGTTTATTATCATTTTCCAAGAAAACGGTGTCCTTTTTTTTCAAAATATCTACTGTGGACTTTAGAGTTTTCAAATTAGATGTTAAAAATTGAAGTTGTTCTGCATCTGCATTATCTATAATTTCTTTAAACGAATCCAACAAATTTTTTCTTACTTCATCCAAGTTCTCTTGTACTGAAGCCGTTTTCTGAGTTAATTCTGCAAGAACAATTTTCTCTAAACCTAGAGCATTTTCGCATGTGTTAGTTCCAATGGCTTCCAAACTGTCAACCTTTAGAATATATTTGCTTCTACAAAGTAGATGGATATGTTTACACATATTCCATTGTATGGCATTGTCAATACATGTACAAACAAAATTATGGATGCAGTGATTACATATATTGCACCTTAAGTGGCACCCACATATTTCTTTATGTCTTTCAATGAAATATGTTTCACTTTGTTTTGAGCTTGGACAAATCCAACCACCATCATATTCTATTATTAAGGTATCATCTAGTTGTAAACTAGCAGTGTGCCTTTGTCTCAAATCTTTTATTTTACTTGTTAGTTTACCTTTATGTTGTGTAATTAATTGGTCAAATAATCGATCTCGTACAAATTTTTGAAGGATAAACAGCATATGGTCTAAACGTTTAACTTTTTTTTTATTACAGTATATTTCTTTTAAAGTTCTATGCATTCTCTCTAGATGCATATTAGTATTTACCCCAGCATACAAACGATAACAGAAGGCCCATGATTCTACATTGTTTGTATAGTTTTGCATAAAATACTTGCCAAATTCTATAGTATCTTTGTCATTTACAAAAGCAGATATAGCTTCTGTAAGTAATGCAGAAAAAACATTTCCATCAGTTTCCTCAAGCAAGGTCCTAAGTACTTTATATACATGTGCCTGTTTTTCCTTTGAATTTACTTTTGACAAATTCTTGCGCCATGCTCTATCAACATACCAGGAGCAATAAAGTCGTCGTTTAGGCACAGCATAGTTTGCTTTGAAGCCATTGAAAAATGACTCATCCATGTCAGACATAAAATTTTCCACAGCAAGATCTCCAATTCTTTCCTTTATTTTTAAAAATAAGATTCTTGAAATTATACTATCTGTTCTATTTGATATTAAAAATGTACAAGGGAATCCTTGATGAAAATCATCTATTACTAAAATGGTTATTAATTGAAAATCATATTGGTTAAGACCATGGGTGGAGTCAATACATATAGTAGCACTATATTTTTGTAAGATTTCACTTTGTGCTTGATTCATTAATATCAAAGCAAAATCTTGCTCACTAAGTTGTGGAAAATCCATACATTTCTGACCTTGTGGCTTATAAAATAAAACCGATGGTGAAGAATTATGATTAAACTCTTCTCTTATCCATGATTCGATACTTAAAGCATCATTGCTGTGTCTCTGCTGATGACCACGAAGATTGAAACTTCGTTCTATGTTTAAAAGGTCTTTTCTTGTTAGTAAATGTAGACGTTCCAGTTCTTCTCCTAAAAAGAATGCATCAGTGAGTCATATATTTATGAAAATAAAAGGCATTATTGTAATTCATAAGTTTCCAAAATATTTTTAAGATGAGGTAACTGTATTTATAATGATTATGTAGGTACCTTGGTAAAAGGATTCGCGAACATCATCCAGTATTCTATCAAACGAAATTCCTACTGCAATTTTTGAAGCTATATTAGCTCTTTCCTTAGATGTGAGGGTTAGGTGCTCTAATTCTAATTTATGTGTATGGTTTTTCACGTATTTTACACAGTAAATTCCATCTGTGACCTAAAAAATTCAGTAATATTATATTTTCAAATACAGATTGGCAATTATTGCCACACACTGTTAAACTCCCTTTACGGTTAAACTTGAAACAGGTTTATCATAATCTGAAATTTAAATATGACTCGGAGTTATTTGTTACACAGTGTGTCAAAGTTACATTAACTTAAGGCTGGCTAAAGTTTCATGACAAATATGGGGATTAGGGAATTTTACTTACCTTATACTTAATTTCAGCAGGACAAAACGCTTGAATTTTACAGGTTCCTTGTAATTTCAGGGACCTCTGGGATTTTCCCTTTGGCTCATAATATTGAGACCTATGGCATACTAATGTTTGACTCTGAATTTTCTGATTTTTGTGGCTTCCTCCAGTTGCAATAAATTTACATTTATTTATTTTTTCTTCGTAATTTCTCCATTCTAAAAAATCTTCTTTACACTGAAATGTCTTGGTTTCAGAAGCAACACTTATATCATGTAATAAAGAAATGTGAGAGCGAACAGAATTTTTATCATAATGTTTGTAGTCGCAAAGGGCACACCTATAAAATTGATTCAGTTTTACAATTTTCACATTATGTTCACGATTTTCATGTCGCGAAAAGGATTGTTTATTGTTATATTGTTTTTCACATTCACTACACTTAAATTTTTTTTCGGGACGGGAAACAACTTCTTCAGGATGTTTTTCTCGCGCGTGTTGGCGTAAAGCCTTAAAACTCATATAATTATTCGAACATACCTCACACGAAAACATATTAGATACTATAAAGACACTAAAATACTTTAAAAGTATAATTATAAAAAAAATAAAATCAACTCCAATAATTTTTCAAGTTCTAATGTCAACACAATGTAAAGCATAGAGTAAATATCAAGTTTCGCGTTGACGTGTTCCGTTTGATTGGTCATGCCAAAAGTCCACAGCCGAACTCTAGCCGCTTGTCTATTAATCCACTAACTTGATATTTTTAGGAAATTATGATACAAACATTAATTATGATCAAAGTATATTATATTAGTAACATTATAGGTAAAATGTTACCTCTATCTCCGATTGACGTGTATTGTTCTATAATAAGACCCGTCATGGTAGTACTTCAAAACATAAATACATATAATCAAAACTATTGTTGCCTGTAAATAACTAGAAATTAAATAACTTGAAAGAAATAAAATAATTCTAATAATTTTAAAACATTAAGAAAAAATCCGTAAATGATAAATTTTAATTATAATGTAAATATATAAATAAATGTTATTATTATTACAATTTTATATATTCATAATACTTTCATTTCACAATCTTCATTATCCTTCTTACCTTAATTTTGGATCTCAAGATAAATCTGAAATTATAAAATTAATTATAGAATTTGTATTATTATTGATTAACACGCAAAAAAAATTTCAACTGCAAATAATTCGAAAATAAACTGCAATTTAGAAACATCGACGATGTGCGCTTGCGTAGTATCGATGATCAAATGCAGCAAATATGGGCTTCAAGGTCAGCCACCGGATCCACACCTTTACCCCTATACCTATCTGACTTTACTGAGATTTTGAATAAAAAGGGATTTTTCAATAAAATGCAGACAGTCAAGATGGCTGGTATCGCCATGGCAATTTGCTAGTGACAGTTAGTAGCCATTTTCAAAATCGACATTCATTTATGGACTTTATTTAAATTTATAACAGTTTACTTTTATTTAATTTACCTACAATAGTTTAATAAGTAAGTACTTATTAGTTTATCTAGAAAAATAAAGAAGTAGTTCTCTAAGAGTGCGTTCCCAGTGTGCGCATGCTTTGTATTGTATAGTATTGACTAAGAGTGGGTCCCAGGGGGACCCTCCACTGCGTCCGCGAGGGCCTATTGTGGCTCAGTTTCTACAAGCTCTTTAATAGAAAAAGAGCATTAAAGTTCACCCTCAAGACCCAGCCTTTTAACACAGGCCATTATGTCCGAGGGTGATATAACTATCTTTGGTGAAAGTCGTGATGGATCATCTTGTAATGTACTTATTACTAGAAGAAGAGGAGGATGAAGAAATATTATTACAATTAGCCAATCTAAAAAATGGAAATGCCCCTTTAACTCCAATATTTAAACAAAGACGGGATGAAGGATGTTATACTACATTGATAAATCGGCATCTGCAACAGGATGATGTAAAATTTAGAGAACATTTTAGGTTCAATAAAGCACAATTTAATTTTCTTCTCGACTTAATAAAAGAAGATATAAAAACCGAGCCATACAACAGAGTTCAGTATCCCATAACCCCAGAGCATGATACAATAACGGTTAGATAAGATCCTTGGCGGTCGCAAATCGGTTCTCCGCGCGCATGACGTCACCCGTATAGTAATTTTCTGTTAAGCTCCGCCCACTACATGCCTAATATCCAGAGAAATAGAAGGGATAGAGAATGAGCGTCAACATGCGCAGAAGGTCTAATCAAGTTGGGCGCCATATTCCAGGTCTCCGTGTCATTTTGTATATAGGTGGTAATCTATAAGTAATCAAATATCAATTTGCTGTTTTCAACCATACGGGGAGCAATTTAAATTTAGTGAAAGTCTATCATTTATTATGGTTAGTTAACATTAATATGATTTATTTAATTATCAGTTTCAAAACTGCGTACAATATTGGTATATAATACACTAAATATACGAATATTCTGACAAAAGACGCTACGGACAGATGACCATTTCGTCGTTAAACACTCGAAATACCATTAAATAAGTATTTACAATTATTTCATGTTTACTTGTACTGAATTACTCGTTTCAATTTAAAATTTTTGCAAATTTGGTAAAAATGTTTGGCATAAAAAACATTTGGTTCATAATTATTTTTGATGATTACCTACCTTGTATTTTTAATATAAACCTAGAAAAAATATGTTTTTGTTTTATTTTTTTTATTCGTCCCTTCAAATTGTGTTACAAAAACTGTTACATAACATGTCCTCTAACAAATACCATAATTTATAATTTATTTATTTATGTATTTTCATAATACATAAACATCATTGATTTTATTAAGGGTATTATTATTAGTATTTATCCTGGTTTTTGTCGACAATAAAAACTCAATCTTGTAATAGAACATCAATTTTATATTTCGTAAAATTATTTTGATACAAATTCAATTTGTCAAAATTCAAGTCATTAATATATTGATAAACAACCCAAATTATTCCTAAATATTTTATTATAAAAAAAACTGTTACTGGTAAGTTTGTAAAACACATTATGGTTTGTCTTAATACTAGAAAAAATCATTTATTTTTTGCACAAAAAAAGCTTGTCGATCCTTATTTGTCCATAACAAAATTCTGTATGTACAAGATACATATACCTAATTTATTATTAAGAAAATTATATTATATCTCAGAATTTTAAGAAAATTTTTTTAAGATAAAATAGTTTCTTCTCAACTGTAATACTTTGGCCTGTATTTTATCTATTTAAAAACATGGGATTGACAATCCCCTTACTAAAATACATACTGGAAGGTACTGATTAAGTTTCATTACATCAAATACCTTTGCTATAAATCCTGGCTCACAATTTAAGGCCATTGCAAAATGCTTTTGAACTATATCATAGATTTTACAAGAATAAAAGTGTAATATTAAAACAAAGTAACATTGTAAGCTTCATGACTAATAGTCTCATTTTTAACACTCTCTAAATATCATCTTGTTAACAATTATGAATATTATATGATTTTTCTCAGTGATTTGTGGCACAGATACAAATTAATATATGCCCCATAACAGTTTTTAATTAAGAAACTTCTGCCTACAGATTTAATTTTCTTATTGGCATAATACCCTTTCTTTCTATATAAATCTTGCCATTTTTTCAGTCCAATGTTCCTTGTTTTTACAGTTGTAGGAATACTAAAAATGTTGACTATAGAACTCGATACTATGTTTGAAAAAGTCTTCATACCTGTAACTGTGCATAAATCTAATTAACTGAAGTCTCCGCCTCTTGACACTCTGAACACTGCTGCTGATAATGTTAGAAATATTTAGCACAAAACTACAACTACCTACAACAAACTTTACAATAAAAATGTTAAATTTTTGCTGTTCGATTACAAAGCAAAAATTTACAAAGCAAAAATAATATCAATGCATCTCGAATGGTTCAATGTAGTAATCAAACAAAATGTATTCAATGTAGGAATCAAACATGTCGAGAATGTAACAGAGTTTATTTACCTGGGAAGTATTGTAACAGCAAACGGTGGCGCAGACTCGGATATTGTCAGCAGGATCAGGAAGGCGCAGCGAGCCTTTGGTCAACTAAAATCAGTTTGGACCTTCCGTCAACTCTCCGTACAAACAAAACTAAGAATATTCAATTCCAACGTCATACCAGTTTTATTATATGGCTGCGAGACATGGAGAGTGACAAAAGTATCCATCAACCGTCCACAGGTGTTTATCAACCGCTACTTGCGGAAAATACTTAAAATCTTTTGGCTAGACACTATACGTAACACCGACCTGCTTCATCTTTTGCTTTCATCTCAACCAACAAGAAGTAGGCATTGAAATCCGCAAAAGAAAATGGGGTTGGATAGGTTACACTTTGCGGAAACCTGATAGTAATATAGCGAGATCAGCGTTGGAGTGGAATCCCCAAGGAAAAAGAAAGCAAGGACGACCTGCTCAAACATGGAGACGTTCCATACTGGATGAGCTTCAACAAGTAGGGTCAACATGGAAGGAAGCAAAAACAACTGCCAAAAACAGAACCCGATGGAGAGCTTTCACTGACGCCCTTTGCTCCGCGTAGGAGATATAGGATCCTATATATATATGGTAGTCTAAAAGCTATTATTTAACACCTATCATCTCTATTCGTTGTCTGATTTCCCTCTCTCGAGTTTACGAATAAAGGCGCACTCTCACGACTCGTCTACTTGGCAAGTATTTTTTATTGGAGTACTGGGTCTAACGGGAATGCTGCGGAGTTTTTATAATAAATAACTCAGAAATTCTGTATAGATGCCCGACGCACCATGTATACCCTGTATACCAATTACAAATGTTTGTCAAGTACACGAGTCGTGAGAACGCGCTATAATATTTTAAAAATCAATAATTTTATTTATGTATAGAGAGTGTCTTAAAAATGAATGTTTTAAATGTAAAGAAATATGTTTATTTTTTTAAATAGGCGGTTCATTTCAGTGTTTTATTTAAAAAAAATGCAATTTTGTTATTTTTATTTATTTGGGACACTCCGTACCTTTTGAAAATAAATAAATGCCTTTATTGTCAAAAAATTTTACAATTTGTAGACAAATGTAAACTAAACAAACAAAGTAAACAAACAAAAGAGAATACAAAACATTATACAAGTAACATTGTCAGTCTTATTGTTTAAAATAAACATTTATAAATGTTTACAATGTCAAAGAATAAAAAAATAAAAATAATATTCAAAAATATTTAGTTAGCTTATAGTAAATATCAATGACCTCTAAATAAATTTATATTGATGTCATTGGTAAATATAGCAATAGCAAACATTAGACCAGTGTTTACAAGATCAAATTCGGTTATCAAAATATAACTCATTTACGGCGTAGAAAGCCTTGTCTAGTAAATAAGATTTCAATGCTTTGCGAAATGAAGAAAATGATGTTATGGATCTGATTTCAAATGGCAGGTGCACATTTTTCGAGTTGTATAATATTGAAGTTTTAACTAACTCTGAGCGTGTGGTAGGTAGATAAAGATCTTGTTAAGGATTTAAAGTAAACGACAGGAATTCATGATGGCTGAGTCCGAGTAGTTGTCACCATGCCCTAGACACTCAATGGTAATTTTATAGAACTACAAATTTAGTTTCTTCCGCATCGCCAGACGGCGCAAAAGACATTAAAGTACAGGTTTCTAATTTATATTATGAAGATGACATGACAGTCTCTATGTTAACTACTGTCTATGGTCTAGTTGTTGTCTAGTTGACAAAATGTTGGTGATCCGTCAAGTTATTTTTAAATCATTATTTAAATAATTATTAATTCAGATATTCCTGATTTGTCGGAAAGTTCAGGGATTTGAGTGATTTGTGTTTATAGTTTGTGTTTTTATTAGTTTGTGCATTCCTTTGGTGCATTCTGGTATTTATAGTCGATCATGATTTTCGTGTTAGATACTAAACTTTTTTATTAAAGTCATTTTGACATTTTAGAAATAATAATTTAGAAACCAAATAAAAAAATAGTTTAATAATAAATAAGTAAGTACATAGTTGGTAATATATAGTATTTTTAGTAACAGTTAATTAGTAGTCTATAATATTTTATACTATATTATAATTTAGTTGTTAAATCAAAAAAAAAAAAAATAGGCGCTATGTGATCTATTGTTGGTGTTTAAAATGTATGTATTTATAATTTTAATTTTGTTGTAATCATGTTACACTTCTAATGATCTAATAAAACATAAAATGGCAGTAAAAAAGGCTATATTTACTATTTTATATTTTGCAAGGAATAATTTTGTGCTTGAATGACGTTACCGTTTTCATTAGCGTTAATAAGTAACGGAACGTTAAAATTATGTTATGCCAAAACTCTCCATTAGTTTCTTCCGGATCACCAGGTGGCTCTAAATGACGGACCCATTTATTTTATATCAGTGTCCAATCTATCTCTAGTACGTGACATTAGTCTATGGTTGTCACATAATTGTCACTTAAGAGGCTCTACGTTAATTTTAAGTTTTTTGCAAATAAATACAACTTAATGTACCTATTCTCTGAATACAACGATAAGAGAAATTAGTAGGTTTATTATTAAACCCCGAACATGGTCCTTCGAGCCGGATGACTCCAGCTACAACGAATCAACGATTATCCAGGAAAAGCAAGTGGTTTAAGTTTCCCGGTGTGGTGATGGTGATGCTGACGAGTACCTATTCCTGGTTATTGCCCGGTGAGTTTTTCCATTTTTCCTTTTCCTAATTTACATTTTGCCTTTATGGTCTTAATTATAGTGTCAAACGACTTCGATTTACTTTACGATTACGATTTTTTAAATCAAAATACCGATATTTTAACGAAAGCCCCCTATAAGCCCTTTTAATGGGGATTCGGTGCTTAAATTCAATCGACAATTTCTTCTCAAACAAGCACAGCTAACCCAGTTAAATTACCTCCGGTTAATATTCCCGAAATCGATGGGTCTTTAGATAAATTTTTACAATTTCACGATACATTTAAAGCTATAATACACGAAAATAAATCACTGGCTCCTACTCAGAAATTTTACTATTTATTATCATCTCTAAAATGTGAAGCCCTTCAAACGATTCAAACTAGTCAAATAAGCGATTCTAATTACTTAATTGCGTGGAAGTTAGTGTGCGAAAAGTATCAAAATGACCGTCTAATAATAAATAGTCATATACAATCGATTTTTGAATTACCGAATTGTACCGAATGTACCGAATTTAAACCGAGAATCAAAAGACGGTTTATGACATCTTGTACGTACGGTGCAAAAAACGTACGTTGTTTGGAAGCATTAAACCAGCCTGTGCAGTCTTGGGACGCACTTTTAGTCTATTTAGTAAATTCTAAACTAGATAATACTACTCGTCGTGAATGGGAAAGTTCAATTAAGGGCTCAAATTTACCGACGTATACCGAGTTAATCGAATTTTTAAATAAAAAATGTCAAACATTAGAGGCCTTAACTGTTAACAATAATAATATCCCTACATCAAGTCAATAATAATATCCCTACATCAAGTCAATAATAATATCCCTACATCAAGTCATAAGAAAACTCGCGGCCAGTCTTATTTGTCTTTTACTAGTAGTGCTTTTGTTCTCAAATGTTATTTATGTAAGGGTACACATTGGTTAAACTTATGCGAAAGGTTTTTAAAAATTCCTGTTAATCAACGTTTTAATGAAATAAAAAATATCCATTTGTGTACCAATTGCTTAAAACCGAACCATTTGCCAAAAGACTGCAGATCGGGCGGCCGCAAAAAATGCCAAAGGCGTCATCATACGTTATTGCACTACGAAAGTGTACCTGCAAAGACAAATTCGAGTGCGATAGTAAAAACTAATTTAGCCCTTGAAAATATCGAGCTAAGCGACGAAACTGAACTTCCGATTGTCATTAATTTTTCCAGTGAAACTAACAACTGTTTTAGTAACGTAATTTTATCTACTGCAAACGTTTATATTTTCGATAAACAACATAAGCCCATTTTATGTCGCGTTCTTCTTGATTCGGGCTCACAATCGAACTATATTACTTACAGTTTAGCCAAAAGGTTAAATTTGCAGTTAGAAAAAATTAATTTGCCAGTAAGCGGCATAAGTCAAAACCTAATTAGTATTAAACACTCGACTACTACATCTGTTAAGTCAATTTATAATTCGTTTAGTTCTGAGCTGCATTTTCTGGTTATTGAGAAAATAACTGAAAATTTGCCGAACTTTACCTTTAATAAGAACGACATTAAAATTCCTAACAATCTGAAGTTAGCTGATATTCATTTTAACGAGTGTAAGCCTATCGATCTTCTTTTGGGAGCGAATATTTTTTATTCGCTACTTTGTGTAGGGCTAAGGGGTAAGTTAAACTCGGCGATAATCTACCTTTGCTTCAAAAAACCCATTTAGGTTGGGTAATCTCCGGCCCTTTAACTTTGTATGCTCGACCAAAAGGTACGATTTGTAATTTAGCTATTAAAAACGAAAATGTTCAAGCCCAACTCGAAAATTTTTGGAAGTTAGAAGAATGTACTCCCAATCTAAACACGAAGTATTCGCATGAGGAACTTGAATGCGAAACGCATTTTGTTAAAACAACTACCCGCGATCAAGAAGGCAAATTTACAGTAAGTTTGCCTATTAAAGACAATCTTAATGCCTTGGGAGACTCTAAAGAAAACGCGATTAAGAGATTTTATGCGCTAGAAAGACGTCTAAATAAAGTTACCGAAAAACAATATTGCAACTTTATTAACGAATATGCTGTTTTAAATTACATGACCTTAGTTAACGAAAACGAAAATTCCTTATTAAAAAATCCGACCTACTACATGCTGCATCACTGTGTGGTAAAAAATAGCAGTACTACAACTAAAGTCCGCGTGGTGTTTGACGCGTCAGCGAAAACATCCTCCGAAGTTTCCTTAAACGACGTTCTTAAGATCGGACCTACGATTGAAGACGATCTTTTGTCAATTATTTTAATATTTAGAACTCATAATTACGTCATAAATAGCGACATTGAAAAAATGTATCGTATGGTCAGTGTTACTGAATCCGATAAAGATTTACAACGAATTGTATGGCGTTGAAGTCCCGACGAAGAGCTTAAAACCTATAAACTAAACACCGTGAACCGCATCTGCGCCATTTTTGGCTATTCGATCTTTATACCAAGTACCCTATGACAACTTGAAGCAATACTCCGAAGTCTGCAAGGTTATTCTCAAAGACTTTTACGTCGATGATTTGATTTTTAGGACTTAACAAATATAAACGACGCAATTAGGTTAAAAGATCAAATATCTTCAATCTTGGCCCTTGCTGAGTTTATTCTTCGTAAGTGGACTTCGAACGAGAAATCCATTTAACTCTACAAGGAAATTCGCAAAATCTACCCCAATCCTTTATTACCGATTCCGACGACAAAAGTGTTAAAACTTTAGTCATTTTTTGGGAGCCTAATCAGGACAAGTTAAGTTATTCCGTCAATCTTGCCGAGCTCTCTACCCAAAAAATTACCAAACGTTTTATTCTGGGAATCGTAGCCCAGATATTTGATCCTTTAGGGTTACTCGGCCCCGTTGTCGTTCGAGCAAAATTACTTTTACAAGAATTGTGGAAAAAACAATTGGAGTGGGACGAATCACGAATCTGTTCCTCCTGATATACATTCCTTGTTTCTTCAATTTTATCGACAGCTTGGTAAACTTAATACACTTCAAATTCCTCGGCATGTTCTTTTAAGAACACCAGTTAAGCTTGAATTGCACGCATTCTGCAATGCGTCTTTGTTGGCGTATGGTGCTTGTGTCTATTTAGTATCCGAAGATAACGTTGGCAACCGATTTTCCCAGCTGCTCACTGCTAACTCCAAGGTTGCACCAATTAAAAGCATTACTTTGCCGAGACTCGAGCTTTGCAGTGCACTTCTGTTAGTGCAACTTGTCAAAAAGGTAACTGCGGCATTGAATCTATCATTTTCGACTGTCCAATTTTGGACCGACTCGACCATTGTTTTGTCGTGGCTTCGTATTGAGCTTAGCCATTTAAAAACTTATTGGAAATCGGGTGTCCGAAATTATGTCCAACTCTACAATAGAAAATCGGAAGCATGTCTCGTCGACTGACAAACCAGCCGACATTATTTCCCGTGGTACAAGTCCCGCAAATTTATCTCTTTGTCCTTTGTGGTGGGCTGGCCCGCAATGGCTGTTAAAAAATTCTTCTCATTGACCTCAACAAAGTGAGCCATGTGAAAAAGAGTTACCTGAACTTAAACAAAAAACTATCTTAACTTTTTCCTCTGTCGACGGTTTTCCTACTTTAAATAAATACATATTCATCTTTTATGAAACTTAAACGTGTAGTAGCTTATTGTCTTCGTTTTGTTAAAAATAGTAAAACTGTCAAATCTAATAGACCTTTTAGTCCTTTATCAATCGATGAACTGGACGTATCGTTAAAACGCATTGTCTACATTGCACAACTTCAAGAATTTTCCGCCGAGCTTCATGATTTATACAAAAATAACTCGGTTAATTCCAAGAGCCGTTTATCATCTCTTGATCCATTTTTAGATGAAAATCTTATTTGTGTAGGCGGACGTCTTAAAAATGCCGATGCCTCTTTCGGTAAAAAAATACCCTTTTATTTTATGTAGTAAAAATCCTCTAGCCCGTTTAGTAATCAATTTTGTTTAATGCATGCTGGTCCTCAAGCGGTCTTAGCCAGTATACGAAGTCAATTTTGGATTTTGAACGGTAGAAATGCTAAAGGGTGTTAATCGGCAATGTATTCCATGTTTTAAAGCGCGTCCTAAGACAATTTGTCCCAAGATGGGCGACTTGCCATCGACCAGAGTTACAGCTAATAGGCCTTTTGCTGTAAGTGGCGTTGATTTTGCTGGCCAATTTCTCGTTAAAGACGGCAAAACTCGATGTAGAATTTTAGTTAAATGCTATATGTGTGTTTTTGTTTGTTTTGCCACAAAGGCAACGCAT